TTAGCCCCTTCCCAGCCATGCTGACATCCAAGCTGTTAATAGTAACGAGGAGTGTTAGACCTGTTGTTAGTCAGAAAGAAATCCACAAGCCATTAGTCTCTGCTGAAAGGAACAGACCAGGAAGGCAGGAGTTAGTCAAGATGAAGGAGACGTTAATTAAGAGCTGGTCAAAGCCAGGCCAGGAGCCTGGAGCCCCCAGACAGGCTGGGTTGGTTGTTAGTGGCCAGCCTCTGGGGCAGTCAGGGGGGATTAGCTGGGTGAGAGCAAGAGTTAGTGCGAGGGAGCCAGAGATTAGCCCAAAGAGACCCAGGTGCCTACTGGAGGTGAGACACGAAATCACTCCCAGGTGTGGCCCTGGCTTAGCGGCTGGCGGGCTCTGGGGGATCCGGCCTGGGGCAGGGACTTGGGTGGGAACAGGACAGGGAGCCAGGGATGAATTCCTGGGCAGCCCGAGGGACCGCGGAAACTCTGTGGGTCCACGCTGCTCATTTCTTGCTCCACACGTCCTCCTGCCGCTGTCTTTCCAACATGGCGACTACCGCTCTCTAGCTTCCGGGTGTGGGACCGGTCTTTCTCAATGACTTCCGGTGCAAAAAAAATGGCCCCACATCCACTTCCGGTATGGGAACCCCGCCTCTCCTAGCTTCCGAGATGGGCAGGGCCCCTCTAGCTGATTTCCTGTGTAGAAAAGGGCCCTCTCGCTGATCGCCGGCCCGCCCTGTGACAAGGGAACGCCGTCTCTCTGACTTCCGGCGTCCGAAATGCCCCTCTTCCCGGCATTCAAACATGGGAAATGCCACTTTGGCTGACTTCCTGTGTACTAAACGCTCCACTGCGTGAAAGACTCCTTTCATTGACTTCCAGTGTAGGAAAGGCTCAGCGTACTGACTGCAGCGTGGGCACGCCCCTCTGCTGACTTCCGGTGCTGGCCACACCCCTCCCGTGCCGGACACGCCCCCCTCCCGACTTCCTGTGCGGAAGGGCTGGCGTCCCCGTGGTTTAATGGAGGAAGTTCTACCCTGGCTTCCTGCCAGAGAAGGCACCCAGGCCCCTTCTCTCTGCTCACTTGGCCGAGAGGAGCCCCGAGCCCCGCACTTGAGACCCACAGGCTCCACACTCACGGCCCACAGGTTTCCCTGGTCCCGCTCACTCCCAGTGGCAACCAGTCTTCTGCCCAGAGGAGCGGTGTCATGCTCAACAGCCACAGGACCACCTCGTCCTCCTCCTCCTCTGCGCACTGCCCACTAGGCCGCCCTGCCTTAGACCTGCCCCAGTGGACTCTGATCTCACAGGCAGCCAGGCGGGGCGGCAAAGTGGGACACACCTGTCTGCAGAGCCAGCCCATTGACCTCTGTTTGCCAAAAGGAGGGGACCAGCCCCCGGGGAGCAGGGGGCCCAGAGCTCGGCAGGGCTGGGGTTAGTAAGAAGAGAAAACAGGGTTAGTAGGGGCTGGGTTAGTAAGTCAGAGCACAGCACCAGCGCACAGGGGCACCTCAGCAGACACACACAGGAGTCGCTAGGAGAGAAGGAAGAACACACGCAGGTCCGTTAGTTTGTTAAAGGGATGGTCGGGGTACAGTGGAGGCACCCCGGGGTTAGACGGGTTAGTAACCGAACAAAAGAGCTGCCTACAGAAAAGAAAGCTGAGAAGAAGGAAGAATGTGGGGAAGAGACAGTTAGGGGTTCAAAGCAAGTGTCTGGCCCCAGGCAGAAGGGTCTGTGTGCAGAACACCCAGAAAGACCAGGCCTAGGCAGGAGAGATGTGATCAACCAGCTTTGGGGGGCCCCCCACGCCCATCCTCATACTTTTTTAAAGTATCTTTTATGTGCCAAGACCTCTGTATTCAAGGATCTCCTCACTGCCACCTGTGAGGTTTAGTAGCAGCACTCCCGTTCTACCACTGAGGAGACTGGAGTTCAGAGACGGGAAGCCACTTGCTCAAAGTCACCCAACAGGAAGTGGCAGGGCTGGCGAGTCCCACATGCATGCCTCGTCCTGGAACGTGTGTCTGCACAAAGATCCCAGCCCACAGGCAGGGCCCTCTAGAGCCGCATCTGCCCCTTGTCCCAGCCCCTCGAAAGGCCCATGAGCTGCATGGTTAGTAGGGTTTGGCTGCGGGCGGGTTAGTAGGGCATGCTCGGGCCTGGTTAGTGGGTTAGTCGGCTGGCAGAAGGCCAGGCACCTCATCACACGCCACAGCGTCCCGGCCGAGCCCTGGGTTAGTAGGTTAATCACACCATGCAACACTGCCCGGCCCCTCCAGCTGCAGCTCCGAAGGCCTCCCACCCCCTCCAGCCTGGGAGTGGGGCTTGACCAGGGCAGGGGGTCTGCCTCCAAGCCCCACCTGAATCAAAACTAAGCCACGTGGACCCCGTCTGGAAGCGTTCTTCCCCTGTTTCTTGACTGTGGGTCTCAGAGCCTCCCCCACCTCCCAAAACACTTCACTTCCCCTGACAGTGAACCCTACTTGTCCTGGGTTCATTGTCCTGGGTGGAAACCCCCTGCCTGGTTCTGGTCAGCTCCTTCCCAGCAGGCTGGATCCTGTCACACTCAGGCACACGCACTCGCGCACACACACACACACACACATGCCCCAGCACCCTTCCACGACAGATCTGATTCCCCCAGAGCCACTATGCTCGGCAGACATCTCTTTCGTCACCGACTGCAGGCCTCTAGCTCCTCCAGCCACTGGCCTGCCCTCCCCCCAGGCAAAAACTGCATCAAGCTGATCTGGCTCCTAGAACCAAGTTCAGACTTCCCGGTCCCTCCTGGTCTGCTTCCTTTCCAGCCAGTGCTACAAAACACCTGCGTGTACCTTCGTTATGCTGTCTCCTAGCACCTCTGTATTTCTCTCACCAAAATCCCACCCTGGCTTCTCCCACAGTTCTAAATGATGCTCCATGAGAAAAGGATTCTGTGGCCAGGAAAGTTGGGGAACACTTCATCCTCTGTTCTATCCCATTAGTAAATTCCCATTAGCATTTTAAAGGGTCTGATAAGTCCCGCACTGCAGAAACCTGCTGAATTTGAACTCAGGTTTTTTTGAAAGAGCAATACCATCTCCTAGAACTGACTTTGGAAGTTTCCCCTAGAGGCTCTCCGCTAAACCACATCTTTCTTATCCTTCAAGGCCCTGGTTGGTTCAGCTGTGCCAGGAAGATGTTCCAGTCTGCCGCAGCCCTCTCTGGGGCCTGACTCCCACCCCCACCACCCTAAGCGCTCAGAACCTGTGCCTCGGGCGATTGTTTATGACACTGTCCCCTTTCCAATTCTTCTTGGGAGCTCGTTTTATGCCACCCGGCATGGCCATGAAATCCTAAAGATTTGGACCGTGGCCAGATTGCCACCTATATTTCCCCCAAGTGGCTAGCCCAAGAGTGGGCCCAAAGTAGGTGCTCCATTCTGATGACAGAAGCAACATTTAAATACCCCAGGAAGCACTGTGAGTTACTAAGGAGGCCATGAAATGCTGCTACTGCCCCAAGCTGGTTAGAGAGGGATATAGGCCAAACAGGCAGGGAAAAGGCCAGTAGAAATGCCTCTGGATCGGAAGATATACTAAGTTTTATAGCCCAGAGAGCCAAACATAGAAAAACCCTAAATCTAAACTCCCAGACGGATAGGAGCATTTATTGAGCACCTACTAAGGGTCAGGCACCGTGCTAGGCACATGGTCTCTGTGAATCCTCCCTGCAACCAGCGGGCAAGCACATGCCTCCCATTTCATGGAGCAGAAATCAAGGCTCGGAGGCCCGGTAACTTGCCCGAGGTCACACAGCAGAGAGCCCACCCGAGACGTGATCTGGCTTCAAAGCCCAGGCTCCTGTCTGGACAGCACTTTCCCGGGGGCCTCCTCCTCTCTGCACTGGGTCCAGCCAGTCCTATGTGTCCCCAAAGCACCCCAAGCCGCCTCAGTGCAGGACCTGCCACTCTTTGTGTCCCCTCCCTGTGGCAATGGAATTCTGGAGGGACATGGCTCCAGCTCTGCACGATGGTGAGGACCACCCTGTTACAGTCCGAATTGTGTTCCTGCCCTGAATTTCATATACTGAAGCTCTGACCACTCACCTCCCCGCCAGTGACTGTCTTTGGAGACAGGGCCTTTAAGGGGTTGATTAAGGTCAAATGAGGTCATAATCTGACAGGATTGGTGTCCTCATAACAAGAAGAGACACCAGAGCTCATGTGCGCATGCGCTCGGGTTCTCTCTCCCCCTCCCCCACGGGGAAAAGGCCGTGTGAGGACACAGCGAGAAGATGCCATCCGCAAGCAGAGGAGAGAGGCCTCACCAGAAACCCACCCTGGCACCTTGATCTTGGACTTTCCAGCCTCCAGAACTGCGAGAAAATAAATTTCTGGTGCTGGAGCACCAGCCTATGGTACTCTGCTCTGGCGGCCACGATGAACGCCCGCCCGCCCCCGCCCCACCCCGGGAAAGCACATCAGGCCTTTACACCTGCCCGAGGAAGGCCACGGGTCGCTCTCCTGCAAGCTCTGGGACTGTCCCCCCTGGAGGGGCTGTAATCGGAGCTGGAGAATGGAGAGGTGAGTGGGGGGACTGCGCGTGCAGAGGCGGGCGGGCGTGTGGCGGGCGTCCCGCCAGCCTCTGCTCCCCAAGGACGGGACACGGGCCGACGCAACAGCAGCACGGGCCCACCGCGACGGGGCGTCCTGAGATCAGGCTCAGGTGGCCCTTCAGGCCTTGGGGGAGGCTGGTTCCCTTTGAAGGGCAGGAAGAAGGCCCAAGCCTGTCCGTCTCTTTCTAAGGAGTTTCCCCGGCCCAGGTCCCCTCAGGTGTCAGAGACCCTCTCTTCTCAGGATGGAGTACCCTCAGTCCCCCAGCTGCCCTCCCAGAGCGCAACAGCACTAAGGGGAGGCCCTGAGTCCTCCTCCCCCGTAACCGTGGGGCGGGGGGAGAAGCACGGGAAACCCCACCCAGGAAGCGCCTACCAAGATGACAATGACGCACAAGGCAAAAGGCGCGAGACGACGCCGGTGGCGCACAGAGGAGCTGCACCTGCCCACGCACTCACAGCACAGCCGCAACCCCCATCCCTGTCCCTGTCCCTGTCCCATCAGGTAGGGTCCTCTGAGACCCAGCCTGGGGCGGCGGAGTGGTCAGTGGGGCCTGGGCCCAGGCCAAGCGCTGTCTGGTCACCGGCAGGGAGGCGAGGAGGAATCGAGTCCACGCGGCGTCAGGAAGTGGCCGCCAGCCCCAGGCAGGGTGTGCGCGGGTGGGGAGGGCCGGCCCCGCTCAGACCCTTCCCGGCGCGCTCCGGCCGCCGGATCCGTCCTCGGCCGGCACTGACCGGGAAGGGCTCTTCTCCACGGGAAGCTCCATCGGGTCGTCAAAGGATCACCCAGGGTTCCAGAAAACCACCGAGCGCCGCTCCCTGCGTCACCACGGCTGGAGTCCGGAGTCAGCCGGGCTCCCAGGAGAAGGCCGGGCCGGGCGTCCCCGAGGCCTGGCGGGGCAGGGCGGCCTGGGGGAGGCACAGCGGGCGAGGATGAGGCCGCAGCTCCCCGCAGGGCCCCAGCCTCGCGCGCATCCCAGGGGACACCCATTCAGAGAGCCCCAGTCTCCTTCCCGTGCCCCCCACCCCCAACCCCCACCCCGCGCGGGCCCGAGGGCTTTAGACGTTGAACAACGTGCAGAAGCCACTCAGGAATGGAGAGGGCGCGGTGGACGCCGAGAACGCGCCACCGGGCAGGGCCAGCGGGCGCCGGGGACGCGGTAAGGGAGCCCCAGCCAGCCCAGGGCGTCATGAGCAGGGAAGGGACAGGGTCTGGGTGGGCAGAGGGGACCCGCGGAGTCCTCGGTGGCTCGAATTCCTTTTACAGCACTCACACTAAGGACGTCTGCACACCACCTCCCCGACACGCACACGCGCGCGCCTGCGCACACACGCCCCTCGCAGGACCAGGAGCCACCCGGTCGCTGAGACCACGGTAAAGCGTGTTCTTACGTGAAGATCCGGGACGGGATCATGTCTCTGGTGCTCGCCGCTGGATCCGGCTCGGAGAAGGTGCTTGGTCCACGTCTATGCTGAATGAAGGGACGCGCTAAAGTCTCTGCCATGCGCGCCCCCCATGGTGGTCTTGGTTCCGCCCCACCCTCCGCCACCAAGACCCCCAGAATAAGCCTCCCAGCCACCTGGCTCCAGGCCGGCCTTCGCGTGAGCAGGAGTGTTATGACCAGGCCCGGGCCTGGGGAGGGGGCGAGGGTGGGAAGACAACCTGCCCCTGTGAAACTAAGCTCAATGCTACCTCCCTCCCTCCCCTGCCACCCTGCCACCCACTTACCTGACTTACCTGGCAGCAGCCAGCCAGCACGTTGGCAGCCAGCGCCTGGCTCCCGGCTCCGTCCCCACACAGCCCCCACAAGACAGACCCATCCTGGAAGACAAACAAGCCAACCACACGGCAGGGGAAAACCACACCCAGGCCCCCTGCCCAGGCCGGGCCTGGCCAGAGCTCTCTGCCTAAGAGAAGGCAGCCCAGGGGCTAGGGGGTCTGGGCCTGGCAGGGCACCCTCCACCTCCCTTGCCCCCTCCCCAGAACATCCTTGGAGAGTGTGGGGTTGTGGGAGGAGGGGCTCCCTTCACCCACCGCCCTGTTCCCTCCAACGACAGCAGAAAGTGACCCAGGAGAAAGTGGTATACACTCAGCACTTGGTGACAGGTGAGCAGGAGCACTGAACAGGGAGTCAGGAATGTGGAGTCCTGATCCCAGCTCTGCACCTGCCGCATTGTGTAGCCCTGGGAAGCCCGTCCCTCTCTCTGGGCCCCAGGGGACCCTTTCTTTTTGGTGACAGCTATGCTACCTCCATCAATTGACAGACCAGAGCCAAGAGAGTCAGGGGTCTTCTCAGCACATTTTCAGAGTTTGCCTCCAGCACCTGGGGCTTGGGCACGAGTCCAGAGCTGGAGATGTACCCAGACCCCTGCACCGAGAAGAATGTGCCCAAAGGCACTGTGCTGGGGTCCCCACTTGACTACAAGGTCAAGGAGCCCTGGCCAAGGTGTATAAACATGATCACAAAAGGCTACAACTGAGAAGAGAAGGGTCAGTCCCAGTCACCAGGGAGTCCTCAACCTCCTTCCAATACCACGTCTACAGGGACACAAGATGAAGTCATTTAACTCAGATCTACAAAAGTTCCTGACGGTGCAATTTGTAAAATATTAGCCACAATGGCAAAAGTGGGGTGTAAAAAAATCACCTTTTCTAGGGCCCCTTAAATGGGGACAAGCTCTTTCTTTGTTCCTGGCACAGAAGTAAAATAGTGAATGAGCTACACATCACCAACTTCCCCTTCTGCTCTGGCATTCTGTTGTTTTTTGTTTTGTTTTGTTTTGTTTTGTTTTTTCTGAGACAGAGTCTCACTCTGTTGCCTGGGCTAGAGTGCCGTGGCGTCAGCTTAGCTCACAGCAACCTCAAACTCTGGACTCAAGCCATCCTCCTGCCTCAGCCTCCCAAGTAGCTGGGACTACAGGCATGCGCCACCATGCCCGGCTAATTTTTTTCTATATATTTTTGGTTGGCCAATTAATTTCTTTCTATTTTTAGTAGAGACAGGGTCTTGCTCTTGCTCAGGCTGGTCTCAAAACTCCTGAGCTCAAGCGATCCTCCCTCCTCAGCCTCCCAGAGTGGTAGGATTACAGGCGTGAGCCACTGTGCCCGGCCCTGCTCTAGCATTCTAGAATACTACACTCTTTCCTGCACAGACCAGGAGAGGGCAGGCTGGTGGGCTGTGGGTGGTGAGTTTCAAAACTTATCTGCAAGGCGGCTTCCAATGCGTGGCTGGGAATGTCCTCCCTTCTCTCTCCTTTGTCCCAGGAACTTGCTGCGCTCTGAAAATAGACCCTGGGCTGCTAGGAGGAACATTGCCTGAGTAACAGTGACCCTTTCCCTGGCCCTGTGGACCCAGAATCCCTGCTGTGGAGACGATGCCCCCCTCACCCCATGCACTCAAGGTGTGACTCCAAGTTAATTATTTTCAAGGCTTAGCCAGTGCCTGGCATGGAGTAAGTGTTCCGAAAATTATTTTCACCAATGCATGATTTACACTTTAAATCAATGCATGTGTAATACTTATGTTCCAGAAACATGGGCCACATTTATCCTGTAGCATTATACCCCAGTTAGGCTGCACGGATCAGATTGAAATCTCCTGTCTTGGTGATGGATAAGCCAAGTATGGCATATACATCCACACAGTGGAATCTACTCAGCAATACAAAGGAACATGCTAGTGATACATACTGCAGCGTGGACAAGCCTCAAACACATCAGAACACATATGGCATGATCCCATCTATACAAAATGTCCAGAAAAGGAAAACCTATAGAAACGAAAAACAGATTAGTGGTTGTTGGGGTTAGGAGTGGGATGAGGATTAATGGTAAATGGTCGTGACGGATCTTATCGGGCCAGTGGAAATGTTCCAAATCTGATCTATGACGATGGTTGCACAACACGGTAAATTTACTAAAAATCATTGAATGAGCAAGCGATATATGATGAGCAGGTGATACTTAACTATGCTTCAATAAAGTTGGACCAAAAATTAATTGAACTACTGAGACATACGACAACAAGGGTGAGCCTCAAAAGTATTATGATGAGCAAAAAAAGAAGCCAAACATAGAGGATTCCATACATATAGAACTGTAGAAAAAATAAATCTGATCTATAGTCGTAGAAAGCAGATCAGTGGCTTACAGAGGCTTCGAGGGGACTGGCAGGGATGGGACGCAGGGGAACATTTTAGGGTGATAAAAATGTTCTATATCTTGATTGCAGTGTTGGCTACAGAGATGTATACCTTTGCCAAAACACACTGAAATGCATGGTGGTTTTTTTTTTTTTTTTTTTTTTTGACAGAGTCTCGCTCTATTGCCCGGGCTAGAGTGCCATGGCGTCAGCCTAGCTCACAGCAACCTCAATCTCCTGGGCTCAAGTGATCCTGCTGCCTCAGCCTCCCGAGTAGCTGGGACTACAGGCATGCGCCACCATGCTCGGCAAATTTTTTTCCTATATATTTTTAGTTGGCCAATTAATTTCTTTCTATTTTTAGTAGAGACAGTGTCTTGCTCTTGCTAAGGCTGGTTTCAAACTCCTGACCTTGAGCAATCCTCCTTCCTCGGCCTCCCAGAGTGCTAGGATTACAGGCGTGAGCCACCGCGCCCGGCCCTGAAATGCACGTTTTAATGGCGCATTTTCTTGTATGTAATGGGAGCGTTTTCTTGTATGTAAATTACACATCAGTAAAGTTATTTTTTCGATACTTGTTTAGTTGTGATGAAAGAGGACAGGAACTGAGAAGTGCCAGATCAAAGGCGACAGAGAGACCTCGCTGGTGGGTGCCAGGGCCCCAGCTTCTCAGCTCTCACTAGGCTACAAGGGACCGCTACTTCAAGCCAAGGTCAAGGAGCCCATCAGGGAAGCCTTGATTGAGGGCTTCACACCCTAAGGGGCATCGGAGGGCTCTCCTACCTCTGAGAGTCAGGAGGTCTCAGGACATAGGATTTCACGATGGATCTGACCTCAAAGGGTGAAGCTGGGTGCCCAGGAGGAGGAGGAGGAGGAGGAAGAGAAAGATCACCTTGGTTACTCCTTTGATACCAATGGGGTCACGGCAGCCACATTAACGTGTCTGGAGCCACGTGGGTGGACAGGTGCCTCCGGCTGTCATCAAGAGAGAAAGAGACAGGGCTAAGAGACTACATATATACCTGTGGGCACGCTGGGGAATAGATACCAGGGTGCTGTTTCGAATCACAGCGTTTGCCAAAACTGATCTCCTCGGACACAAATCAAAAGCAAAAACATGAGACAGGGAGGTGTCTTGGCCAGGCCAGTGTCAACCCAAACATCCTAATGTACTCAAAGGGACATGGACTTTGTGGCCTGGATTCCTGTCCTGCTCTGCCACCAGCTAACTGTGTGACTTTGAGCAAGTCTATCACCACTGTGAGCCTCATCCTTCTAATCTGTGAAATGGGAACAATAACAGTGCCCAGGATTAAATGAGATGGTAAGTATCACCTATTAGCTTGAATGCTACCATTTCCTTACATTAGTACGATTAGCATTGCCCACAATGCTCACTAACACCGTCCATGGGGTACCCCTTTGTCCCCTGCACAGTATGTGCGCACCGTTCCTGTAACGGAGTCACAGCTGCCAGGGAAACGTGCATCGGTTGCATTTTAGGATCTCCCTGGTGGTTTAGTCTTTTTTCCCTGACTCTGGAATAAAATCCCTGCTCAGAGATTTGAGGCATACAAAAGAGGCTGGCCCGAATTGCCCTGGATGAGGGAGGGCCCGGAGAGAAGGGAAGTCCCCGCGTGAGGAGACGTGCGGTCCGTCTGGCGGGAGACACGCTCAGGGAAAGTGATGCCTCTGCAAAGAGGAAGTACTGTTTCTGGATGAATCCAAGCGCAACGTCCAATCCACAAAGGAGAAGATTTGAAATTCAAACCTCCTTCAAGCAAGGGAAACTCTGAGATGGGGAGGAAAGGAAGAAAAGCAAGGAGGAAGGAGAGGAAACTAACATTTATTAAGAACAGATACTAAATGAGGCAGCTTTATCTACATGGCAAAACAACGAGTTGGGTTTTACTATCCCCATTTCACAGATGAGGAAAATGAGGTTCAGAGTGAAGTGCCTTGCTCAGAGGTCATCAAACTGGAAAATGGGGCAACTGGGATTCGAAACAGTGGGTGGAGACTAGATGAGAGAGGGCCCAAGGGGCTTCTGTCCACACTGCAAACATCATGACCATTTGCATCACTCTGACTGTGAACAAACTGGCCCATGACCGCTAAACCACGTGGGATCTGTTTATCCCAGTTGCTTTCATGGTCTGTAGGCAACTGATTAAGTCCACTTTTCTAAGAAGCCAGGGCATAGTGTAGCAGTTACAAACACATGTTTCAGGGTCAGCCTGGACACAGGTTCAAACCCTGACTCTACAACTAACTTGCTGTGTGACCATGAGCTAGTCGCTTCACCTCTCTGAACATGTTTCTCACCTGTAATGGTTCATTCCCTGCCTTATCATGGGGCGTCCATGAGGCAGCACTGGGTAAGCACCTCGGTAAATGGCTACTAGATGGTAACCAGATGGTAGTTAGGCTTGGTCACCATGCAACTTCTCCTCCATACCTTTGAGTACACAATAGTCCGGCCCCCTCCCTCCCTCCCGTGACTCATCCAGGAGCTCCCAGAGGGACCCACCTGGCACCACGAGAGAGAAGGGGACACCTGCCTCATCTTATCGGAGCAGTGTGTAAAGAGACGGGGCGACAGATGTCACCCTCAGCCAGCCTGAGCCTCTGCCCCTGAGAATCTCTGGCTATTGTTCCCGGAGCTCCAGCTGACAGATGAGCCAGGCCTCAGGCACAGGGGAGAGGATCCTTCTGGAACAAAGGGCTAGCCTGTAAGTTATTCACCAGCCCATTGAACCTGCACAATGGACCCAAGGCCCCAGAAACACGCTGCTCAAACAGCCCGATGGTCACCGGGGAGACCAACCCACAGCCTCGAAAAGAAAGAAAAGCGAACAAGCCGGAATCGACACAAAACCTGGACGCCCAGTGGGTGAGCTCAGCTGGCACCCAGAGGGTGCACTGTCGCATGCATTAACTATCTTTATTAAGCACCTGGGGGACATCAGGGACTTCACACACGCTGGTTCATAGCCTCACGGCAGCTTTTTAAAGCCAGGGTTATGATCCCTACCGGAAAGATAAGGAGATCGAGGCTCAGAGAAGAGAAACGCCTTCCCGCTGAGGCCGACATGGGTGGAGGGAGCATGTCAACTGCTTCGCTGTCCGCCACCCTCACCGCCTTGATGAATAAACTCTGTAATACTGCCCTGGAAAGAAGCATGGGTCAGGTTTAGAGAAAGGACCTTAAAATAAAGATGTACGGGGGGAAAAAAAAAGTTACAACTAGCAGGAACAATCATGTTTGTGTACTCCATGAAACCCTAACATCTCTTGCAATGATTTACAGTAACATAGAGAAACACATCTCATGTAATTTTTCAAATGCAGTGTACACATAAGACGACTTCAATTATTATTTTCCATCATGAAAAAACATATCAGAGGGAAATACGTTGAAAATAGTTTTCTTCTCTTCTTTTTGGATTTTCCAAAATCCTCTACAATTATCATATATTTTATTAAACTTATCACACTCGTAAAAAAAAATCAGCAAAAATTATAAAATTCTCATTTTTCGTGCAAGCATAGAGAATGATTCTCCTGCAGCCGCTGCTAGGGGTTAGGTGGCTCCTTCCGAGGACGCTCAATTCTTCATCATTCTCCTCTGTTAAGGGGCAGGGTCAAGGCTGAAAATGCAGCAGGAAGGACGCAGGGTAGATTTCAGCACCAGTCTCAAAGGGAAGGGTCATTAAACAATAAAATAGGCAGGCCCGGGGGACACGGAGGGTCTTAACATAAAATTCTTTCAACGTGACATTAACCAAACTCGGAGCCTGGTAAGTGCAATGGCCCCACCGCTAGGAGCTGGCAAAGTGCCCCGGAAACCGTTTGCCCAAACTGCTGCATGGCTCTGGTCTCGGGGTGAGGGGCGAGAGGGGCACGCACTGTCCCCAGGCCGATGATCCGACCCACGGCAGGGTGGGTGAGATCTGGACAGGGAGCAGATCTGAGCAAACACCCAGATGCTCAGCCTCACCCCAAACCTGCTGACTCATCCCCGGGCCACGTGGCTCGGACATCTGCGCCCTGGAAGCGACGCCCCGCACGTCTGGGGACGGCAGTCCTCAGGTTTCCCTGTCTGTCAAGTGGAATTACTCATCCCTGCCCCGCGTCACCCCGCCCCGCTCCCGGGCCGTCGCCACGCTCCCACTCGCGCCCAAATGGGAATGCGCTTCGGAAGGCAAAGCGCAGCGTCCGCAGCCGGCTTTCTGCGTTCTGCGTTGGGGCGTGCTTGGCCTGAGGCTGGCACCGAGAAAAAACAAAGCCGTTTCCCGCAAGTCCCCCCCCCAGGTCCTCCCTCCCTGACTCCCGCCCCTCCCCTGCAGCAGGTGGGGGTGTCTTCCCCGCGCTGCACTGCAGTGGGCTGTGCGCGCCAGCGGTCCCCGGCTCTGGGCAGCGTCTGGTCTGGAGCCAGGGCTGAGGATGGGAGTCCAGGGGCCCCAGAGCCTGCCCCCAACACAGTCCGACAAACAATTTCTCTAGCTCAGGGCCCTCCGCTGCAGGAGCGGAGAGGTCTGGCCCCTTCCCTCCCAAATTCCCAGCCTCTGGTGCGTGTGCTGGAGCCAAGGAGAGGTGGGGGACCGAGCTGAGGGGATCCGGGGTCTCTCCAGACCCTTTTGGGGATGCCACACCCGCTTTAGAAGCCGACATATCTAGATTCGAACTCACTGGCTGTGTGACCTTGGGCGTGTCGCTAACCCTCTCTGGGTCTCCATCTCCTCTTCTTTAAAGTGGGGCTCCTACCACCCCGCGGGGCTGCTGTGCTAGCGCGCAGCACCTAAGCAGGTCCCCGGCGTACGGTGACCTCTCCAAAACTGCCCTGTGGTCCTTTTTCATGGTCATTGTCACTATTCTTTTCAACCAGCGTGGCTTTCCAGCCCTTGGAGCCGCGCCGGACGCCGGACACCTGGGATGGAGTCCCAGAAGCGCAGGAAAGGCGCGGGGAGGGGGCGCTCCAGGACCCCGCCCCGCCGCCCCACCCCACCCCAGTTCCGAGGCCATCTGGGCTCTGTCCGTGGCGTGGCCAGTTAGCTGCCAACCTGGAGGGCCCGAAGGTCCGGGCTCCCTCCCTGCACGTCTGCCTGGCGGCGAGGGAAGGGAAGGGTCTTTGTTCCCCATTAGATGAGGACTGCGAGCCCTCCGTCCGCACTGGACTCCCGACGTGTCCCCGCTCTCTGTCCCCGCGCCCCGCCCCGGCCAGAGTCTCGGCTGCGTTTAACCATCGCGGGCTGCAGAGCCGCTTCCATCACTCGCGGGGCGCTCCGGGCAGCGTCTGCCATCCCCTGAAACCCCCTGGGACTCTCGGGCCCACCCTCGACCCCAGCCTCGGGGAAGGAGGCTGTCCCCCGCGCGGGGACAGGGACGCCCGGGGAGGAGGGCCGTTAGAATGTGGGCGGCCACTTACCTCGGTCCGCGGCCCTGCGGCGCGAGTGCAGAGGGCTCTTTGTGCCCCGGCTCGCAGCGCAGAACTGGGGGAGCCCCTGCAAGCGCCTCCCCTCGCAAACTCCTCCCCGCGCTCGTCCGCAGCCTCCCTCCCCCTGTCCCCCAGCGCAGCCGGCGTCGTCTTTGTGGCTGCTGCAGCGCCCATGAAATTTTAATGCGGGAGCGGCTGGCGGGCGGAGGCGCCCCGCCCCGGCCCTCGCCCCTGCCCTCCTCCCGCCTCCCCGCGCCCCTGCAACCCCACCCGCCACCCCTCCACCCCTGTCCCAGAGTCCCCGCCGGGGCCGCGGGGTGCAGCCCGGTTCGGAGGGAGCACACTGCCGCCCCCGCGTCCGTCACAAAGGGCGAGCCGGGCGGCGCGCTCAGCCTCCCGCATCCCCGCCCGCAGCGCTGCCATGGCAACGCTTGCCCGGCCGCACTTGGCCGCCCAGAGCCCAGGGCCAGACCGCGGTCGGGGAAAGCAGAAACCTGGACCCAGGTGTGAAAACAGAGAGGACACTGGCGGTGGAGTGACGTCAGCTGCTTAGCTCCAAGGCTCGGGTGTATGCCCCTCAATTAACCCGACTAGATGGGCGCATGGTTATGGTAGAGCCAAGATTTGAACCCGTGTCTGTAACTCCATGCCTCTGCACCATTTGGCCTAAGTGCATTTATAGGTTTAGTCTTTTATTTTCTTTTAACTGCCCTCTCCTTGGTGCCTACTATTTTCTGGAGCAGGGATGCCAGAAAGTGGTCCTGAAGCAGTGGCTTGGAGCAGCATTTTCACCAGAACTTACAGAATTTGCGTTGAGAACTTGTTAGACATGCAGATTCTCTGGCCTCGCCCAAGAGCCACAGAATCAAAAACCCTGAAGGTGGGTCCAGAGATCTGTTTCAGCAAGCCCATCAGGGAATTCTCATTTGCATTCAAGCTGGAGAACCACTGTGCTAGAATATTCCAAGGACCTCTAGAACCAGACTGTCCGGGGTTTAAATCTCAGCTCTTTCTATGCCCCTGACCAGATGTGGCCTTAGGCAAGCTCTACACGAAGCGTCGTCAAACTACAGCCCGCGGGCCACCTGCAGGTGTTTTTGCCCATTTGTTTTTTTCCTTCAAAATAAAGATATGTGCAGTGCGCATAGGAATTTGTTCATAGTTTTTTTTTTAAAACTATAGTCCTGCCCTCCAACGGTCTTAGGGACAGTGAGCTGGCCCCCTGTTTAAAAAGTTTGAGGACCCCTGCAGTCTACACCCTTCCTGAGACTCAGTTTCTAGTCCATAAAATAGAGATAATAGTAAAATCCACACCATTGGGTTTAAATGAGGGAGAGGTGTTTAGTACAGTGCCTGGCACTTAGTAAGGGCCTAGTATTATGTTTAACTAAGATATATTATTATTAGACTATGACATCTCCTTTAAGTTTCACACTTCTGTGGATATTGTGTATCATCTTCATTGCTCAGATACAGAGGCTCAGAGACGCCACAAGACCTGGGTCCCAACAGAGAGCACAAAAGACACAAGTGGAGTCAAGCCCATCCTTTTGGGTTCCAACTCCCCTATGTGTCTTTTAAACTACACATCACTTGCTGGAATCCCCACCCGTGGTCTTCGGAAAATGCAAACCCAGTTCAACAAATCTATAACACAATTCCAGCGTGCCCAGCCCAAGGCCATTGAAGGAAGCTGGAAGGTCGGACTCAGGTTTCCATTTCCCGGTCATGTTGCCAGTGTTAGAATTCCCCTGGAAGTCTGGAGTTGTGAAGTGTCCCTCATGCAAAGACTATTTAACTGGCAGATCCTTGAAGCCGTGGTGCCTTGCGGGGAGAGGGGAGGTAACTGGTCCAGCTTAAAGGAACAAACTTGATTCTGAAGGGCATAGGGTCTCTGCTTCCGTTGCTATGGCAACAGACGCTCCAAAATATGGCACTGGGTAATGCTGGGACCTCCTTTGGGACTCATGTCTAGCTGGAGAGCTAGGGCTAGCATCCTTCTCGTCTCCCCGGTAATTGGCTCTGCCCCTCACGTTATCCCGTGGGTAGGTCCAGGGCGTGCCCTGAGAAGAGCACACCCCGAGATTGTAAGTGGCACGCCCCCACGGCTGACCAAGGATTCCTGCCTTCCAGGAGACATTGATGGGGATAACTTGGGCCCCCGAGAGCCCACGAGCAGATAAGAGGATCCCGAAGAGACACATCAACAGTCCCCCCTTCTGCTTCTCTTGAAAATAACCCAAGCCGCACAATTTGGAATGCCGGTTGCCATGGCAACAGAAGGAGGGACCATATGCACTCCGGAATAAACTTCGTTCCTTTAAGCTGGACCAGTTACCGCCCCTCTCCCCGCGAGGCGCCACGGCTTCCAGGGGCTGCCAGTTAAACAGCCCGTGCGCGGGATGCAGCCCCAGACTCCCAGGGTCACTCTGACAACGTGCCCAGGGAGGGGGGACCTGCGTCCCTCTTGTCTTTGTCCCTCAAATAGCCCCTGGAGAAACCAGGGTGGCCCAGGAGGCCAGGGCTCCGGTTGTGACTCCATTTCCAGCTCCCTGGGTTCCTTTTTTAAAAAAAAAAATCAAGGTGAAATTCACTTAGTATAACGCTAACCATGTTAAAAAGTGTCCACTTTGGTGGCATCTAGTGCCTTCACAGGGTGGGGCAACCACCGGCTCTATCAGGTTCCGAGACATTCTCATCACCCCAGAATGATACCCCACATCCTGAAGCAGTGACTCCGCGTTTTCCCCTCCGCCCCGTTGTGCGGAACTGTGCAGTGTGCGACCTTTTGTTCCAGCCTCCTCCGCTTAGCATGCTTTTGTGGTTCATCCACATCATAGCACAGATCAGCACTTCGTTCCTTTTATGGCTGAATAATATTCCATTGCGTGAATGAACAGACCGCAATTCGTCCTTCCATTCATCCGCTGCTGGACGTGGGGCTGTTGCCACCCTTTGGCTACTGTGAGCGGCGCTACTAAAGCAGGCATGTCCACGGGTTTGTTTGAGCCCTGCTTTCCAGGGTTCTTTTGGCTATACACGCCTCTGTGCTTGATTTCTTTTCATACTCCCAGGGGCATTCTAGAGCCGGTGGCAAGGTGGGCTTCTTCACCTTGTCACCTGAGCTAGTCTCACATACCCTCCCTGCTCCCCGTGCCACTTCTCTGCCTGGCCACACCTAAGGAAGGGCCTTTTGGTCTGCCCTCCAGCCGTGTGACCACTGGGAGACCGGACATGCCCATCAGGGGACCGGGGACCTCCTCTCTGACAGCCGTTTCCCAGAGCGAACGGCTCCCAGTCTCACCCAGATAGAAAATCTCATTTTGACTCATCAAAGCAGCCGTCCGTCCTCACCCTGGTGACAGTGGGCGGGGCTTCCTGCATGCGGGAGGGTGTGTTTGTGCCATTTGGTGTGGCTCGGGAAGACTGCGCCACGCCTTTCAGTTCTCTGCAGCTACAAAATACTGCTGCCCTCTGTAATCACCTGCAGGTGCCAGGAGCCTGACCCCGTGCCACTTGCTTGCCAGACACTGTTCCAAGTGCTTTACCCAAATTCTCTTCCAGCACCCTGTGGAAGTGTTGGCACCATCTGCCAGATAAGGAAGGCGAGGCTCAGAGAGGGAAAGTGATTTATGCAAGGTCAGCCAGATAGAAAGATTGCAATCAGCGCCGATCCCAGCAGCTGCGCTGGGAGTCCCGGCTAAGCCACCCGCAGCGTGCTCCAGCCCTCCTTCCCTAGAAGGGACGCACCCCCCCATGGCCAGTTGGGCAATGGCCCCACCACCATGGTGGGGTCTCTTGGGGTCTGCTCATCACCCTGCCCTGAGAATGCACAGTGGCATGGTGTCCCACCTGAGGTCAAGGAAGCCGGGGCACTCACCCGCCAATATTCATCCGTCATGGCCGAAGGATGCTCCTGGTGCATCAGCCCCTTGCCATCTCTAGACTGCCACCTGCACGGGCCACGCATGGACCCTTGGCCAGAGAAAGTCACCGGCAGGGAGTCACGGGGGGCTGCGGGAAGAAGCCATTGGTGTGCGTGGGGATGGTAAGTGTCAAGGGAATGTCCAAGGGGGCAGTGGGTCATCCGCACCCCCATCCCCTCTACTCACTGCCCAATCCCACCCTAGCAGAGCCCACCGTGCGTCCAGGGTCTACCCAGTTCGAGAAGATTCCACCCAATACCTGCCAACCTGGCACATGATAGATGTGATCCATACAGCCCCTGCCCCTCAGAGCTCACCGCCCATCTGGGAAAGACACAAGTCATTTTGCAAGCAGAAGTCACTACAATCACTGGGCTCATAGTGGTGACACCACCAGTCTTTGAGGTCAAGAAATTGCCTAGGCCGGGCGGGGTGGCTCACGCCTGTAATCCTAGCTCTCTGGGAGGCTGAGGCGGGCGGATTGCTCGAGGTCAGGAGTTCGAAACCAGCCTGAGCAAGAGCGAGACCCAATCTCTACTAAAAATAGAAAGAAATTAATTGACCAACTAATATATATAGAAAAAATTAGCTGGGCATGGTGGCGCATGCTTGTAGTCCCAGCTACTCGGGAGGCTGAGGCAGAAGGGTTGCTTGAGCCCAGGAGTTTGAGGTTGCTGTGAGCTAGGCTGATGCCACAGCACTCACTCTAGCCTGGGCAACAAAGTGAGACTCTGTCTCAAAAAAAAAAAAAGAAAAAGAAAAAGAAAAAAAGAAATTGCCTCCCGAGTGCTAGATGATATACCAGAATCAAAAATCGTAACAATAAGTAGAACTGCATCACTTGCTTTTATTTTCAGAACCTTCTTGGTTTCAACTAGCAGAAACAAGTCCAAGCCTATGTATGCGTGGTTTCAGGCACAGCTGTATCAAGGTGTTCAAACAACCATACCCCCAGGAATCTGCCTTTCTCCATACGTTGGCTCTGCTATCCTCTGTGCCACTGGTTCACAGGCAGACCCTACCCAAGTGAGGACCAAAAGGCCCTTGGCAGCTGCAGCCTCACAACCTGCCAGTTTAGCACACCTAGCTCCAGCCCAAGTCCAAGGCCAGCTCTCAGTGCCCTGGCCTGGGTGTCATGTCCACACACCAAGAAGTGGTGAGTGGTGAAATGGAAACTCAAGGTGCTGCCACTAAAAGAAGAGAGCATGACACCGGAGGGAGTGTGTTAGTTTTCTATGGCTGCTATAATGAACACCACAAATTTGATTGCTT